AGTCCTCAGGGATGTCCCTTCCAGTCCTCAGGGATGTCCCTTCCAGTGGCCTGCACAGGGAAGGGGCACAGCCAGAGGGGATCGCAGGACCGGAGCATCTCGGGATGCTGCAAAATCCTCCCCAGGTGTGGTGGTGGGTCCCAGGACTCCAAGGGCACAACCTGGGTTACTCTCACTCCCCCAGCAGAGATTTTGGGGGGGCAGAATTCCCATATGGTGCATGAAGCTTCCCCTTAACCCACAGAGCTGCTCCCAGAAGCCAAACCCCTCTCCCGGTGAGCAGAGGTGAACTGGACGGGGTTTGCTACTTACTGGTGCCCTCCCCAGCCGAGTGCAAGGCTGGGAGCTGGCTCTCCATGAGGGTGGGCGGCTCCAGCACCAGGGCCTGGAGCCCAGCGGGGTCTGGGCTCGGGGTCCAGGTCTTGTCTTCCTTGCCTTTCTCTCTCTACAGGTGAAGAAACCCGCCCAGGGCGGTGGGGGGGGCAAAAAACGCATCAGCAACAAAAACCACGACCCAATAAATGTCAGCCAGAAGGAAAAAAGACCAAAAATATAGAAAAGAAATAGAAAATTGTGGAGAAAAAGATCTGAAAAACAGGGCCATTCACTGACTCATAGGAAGAAGAGTGGTTGCCCTTGGAGCCTGGGGAGGAAAACTCTCCAGGTAGTGCCAAGGGAGAGCACAGGCACTGTGGCACAGCACGGAGCACCCCGGCTCCCCAGAGAACACCCACTGCCAGAGCAGCACAGGAACCAGAGTTCAGCTTGAGCAGCTGTGGACTGCAAGTCCAAGCCTGGATCTGTGTGTCACACAGCAAAGAGGGGACTTGGGGACACAGGAAATGCTGGGGAAGGGGCAGCAGAGCCGCCCACAGCTGCTCTGTGTGGAGGGTTGGTGGGGCTCAGCTGTGTCCCGTCCCCTCCCCGTGTTCCACCTTGGAGCAACGCTGCCCCAGGATGATCCTGGTGTGGATAGGAATGGGCTGGAGAAGAGAAGCAATCTGAGGCAGCACCTGAACTCGGTTACAACCACAACCTCCTCCAGGTGTGGGTTTAGGCTGAGGTGGTGATGTCACTGCTGGGTCACACCTTTCCATAGAAATCCCTCTACAAAGGGCAAGCCCTTCAAACTATGGCCCAGTGAATGTGCTGGGATGTGACAGAACTGTCACAGTAATCACAAAACCCATGGCAGAGGGCTCAGGGGAGCACAGGGGAGGCTGATGCGCAGCAGAGAGAAGGGTAAGGAAGTCAAGCGGTCCCGCAGTCAGAGGCCAGCTGGAGGTGAGAGCTGGGGGTGCACAGAGAACATGTGGCCAAGAACAAAGTGCTGAAATACAGGAGCTGAAACAGAACCTTCTTCTCCCATTGAGAAAAAAGTGCTCGAAAAACAAGCAAGATAAAAGTGCTTTTTCTCCCCTGGGGAGATTGACCCCTGTCTGTCCCCAGGCTGGAGTCTCAGTTCTGTGCTTACCTGATGTCCTCACTCCTGCTGTGGACTTGGTGGCCTTGAAGCCAGGCTGTGGGTGTTGTTTTACTCAGCTAAGACTCACTGAAGTTGCCATCAAAGCCTCAGTGGGAACAGCTCACCCCAAATTCATTGTTTCCCTGACCTGAGTGACTTTTGTGTTTCAGTTTAAGTCCCCCCCAAGCACCCCCTCCGTACACAGAGCCCTCGGTTAGGAAGGAGAGATCACCTTCTGAAGGGCCAGACTGCTGCAAAGTCACCTGTTCTAAATAAAGCTGAGCTTTAAATGCTCCACTTGCACTGGGATCCAACACCTCTGCAGCTCCCCGAGCTGCCACTGCACTAACCCAGAGTGCACAGGAGCTGCTGATGGTGACACTCCTTCATGAGAAAGGTTTGAGACACAAACACGAACTTCAGAGACGGCAGAAAGAGCAGGAAACCACAGTAGAGGCTGTCACTGACACCCGAACTCATCCGTGTGGCCACGGGCCAGGAAGGGCCCAGCCTGGAATCCTGGCAGCTCTGCCCCAGCTCTGCTCCAGCAAACGTCCCCTGGGTTGGGACAGGCAGCCCAGGAGCCCTGAGCAGGACCCTCTCCAAGCCCAGACTCCCACCCATCTTCACTTGCACAGCCAGACACAGCAGAAGGTGCCTGTTCCCAGCCCAGTGCTCCTTTACCTTTTTATTCCCTCCTCCAGGGACGTGGCTGATGTTATCTAAGGACCCGATTTTCGATTGCACCTTATCTTTGAAGTCCAGTTTCTCAGATTTCACCTCCACCTGGCCACCACCTGGAGTAAAGAGCAGGGGCTGGGTCAGCAGCCAGGTCACTGAGGTCTGAGCTGCTCCAAGGAGACTCAGCCACAGCCCTCTGAGGCTGAGCAGAGAGTGAGGCCCAGGGAAACAGCAGCAAAAGGGACCCCGTGATGATTTGGGAAACCCAGGAGTCAGGGCAAATAGGATGCTCTGCAGAGCTGGCACACCCCCCCAATGTTTTACAGAACTGAGGGCAGGGAGCTGACCTTGATCCCCAAAACCAGCAGCCCCCCCTGTTTATTCCTAAATACGTCTCACTTACATGGATGTGTTGGCACAAAGGTATCCATGGATCACAGAATCACAGAACAGTTTGGGTTGAAAGGACCTTAAAGCCCATCCAGTCCCACCCCCTGCCATGGGCAGGGACACCTTCCACCAGCCCAGGTTGCTCCAAGCCCTGTCCAACCTGACCTTGGACACTTCCAGGGATCCAGGGGCAGCCACAGCTTCTCTGGGCAACCTGTGCCAGGGCCTCCCCACCCTCCCAGGGAGGAATTTCTTCCTAATATCCCATCCACATCTACCCTCTTTCAAATTAAGGCCGTTCCCCCTTGTCCTGTCACTCCAGGCCCTTGTGAAAAGTCCTTCAGACGACACCAGATCCCTCCCCTGCTCCGAGCACTCAGGCAGACAGGAGCAGGTCTGGCAGTGACAGTGCTGGGAAGAGCATCCAGCGCTCCAGGGCTCACTCTGGTGCTCCAGTCACTGCTCCACCTGCCTGCCCTCACTCCCTGCCCTATCCCAACCCTCTCCCCATCTCCAGACACACCACAGCACAACCCACCAGCTCCCAGGATCAGCACAGTGCCAAAGGGTACCTGGTTTGTGATGGATGTTGCCCAGGGAACCACATTTGGATGTCACATGGCTCAGGTCGACTGGCTTGTAAACGATTTGAACCTGCCCGTGGGAGAGAGGAAAAAGGGATGAGCTCATTGCCAGGATGGACTGGCTGGGGAGGGGGAGCACAACACACAGCGGCACCTGAGCTGGATTGGAGGGAAAGGACAGCTCAAACCCCAGGAAGATTAATGATACAAAAGAAACCATCATCAGAAATGGGAGATCATTAATGCCCGTGTGCAGTAGCCTCTTAACATGTCAGCATGCACGAGATCACCTCTCCACAGAGGGGGGAGTAGAGGCAATTTTAAAGTGCTCAAGTGAGAGAGAAAGTGGAGTGGTAATTAATTAAGATTTGCATACACATCATCCAAAAGGAGGAGATATACCAGAGAGAAAACGTAAAAAATAAATACCTTTTCTGGTGTAAAACATAAAGCTTATGTCCACAAAAACTGAAAGAACAGAAATGATCAATGTGCACAGAACTTTTAAAAGAGTGACCAAAATATGCATTTCTGAAAAATGCTGTAACGGAAATAAGGGTTAAAAAAACGGGGGGGGGGAAATAAAAAAGCAAAGAAAAGCCTAAATTATCTGGAGATCACATCGTAAGAGATTAAAATGTTACAAAATATCGAAGCACAACAGCATTTTGTGACATTTATGCCCTGTTTTTGATTTGCTTGTCCCGTTATTGCCTCAGAACAAGCTGCAGCAATTCCACGGATCCCACCCCGCTCACGGACCGCGCGGGGCCGGCGGCCTCTGCCCACGGACAGCGGGTGACACGGGACACACACACAGGAGGGACAGCAACGAGGGGCTGGTTTAGTGCTACGTTAGCAGTTAAACACCACACCGGGAACAGCGGCGGCTGCAGAGGGCTGGGAGGAGCCCCCGGGACGGCAACCACGGCACACACACGGCAGCTACGGCAGGAGCAGGAGACAAGGGGGGAGGAAACATCCCCAGAACCCCACAGGTTACCTCACACCCTGGGTTTGGACCCACACCTGGGTGTGGGTCAGTTGTTGCTGGAGTCAGTGGGGCTGTGCAGGAGAAACTGGACCATCAACACCTCGGGGGTGGTTCCCACGCACTGGGGAGGGTTTGGCTCTCGGGGATAGCCTGGATTTCACGGGGAGCATGTGCTGCTCTCCGGGTTTTCTCCAGCATCACATTTGTGCTGCTCTCACAGATCTCAGGAAGGATGTGCCAGCACCAAAGGGAGCTTCAGAGAGGAGCTGACTCCTCCCTCCCAGCAGCCTCTGGACCAGCACAGAGGATTCACCACAGCCACTGCTCTCCCTCGCACCCGAGAACCCCGTGCTGACTCAAACCCCAGGAGAAGGTGCACCCTCCAGTCCTCATGTTGGCCCCATCACCCTCAGAGCTGGGTGCTGGATTGTCACACCCCTGAGAAACACTCCCCCTCCATCACAGAGCCAGGAAAAGGATGGGAACAGATCTGGTCCCACCAGCACAGAGCCCTGTGCTGACCTGCCTTGTCTCCGATGCTCACGCAGACCAAAAGGCACATTTGACAGGAGACAGAGAGTGGGGGAATGAACCCCCAGGGCCTTGGAGCACATTGTGGACACAGACACGGAGACAGAGTTGGGGGAAGGTCACACGTTTAATGCACTGGACAAGACAGGAGCCAGATATGGTTGGAAGGCAGGAAAGGGACCCAAAAAGGGCAGCTGGGGCCTGTCTAATCCCAGCTGTGACCCCAAAGGGCCTACGAGCAATTCAGGCACCACTGAGACCTGGGACTGAAAGGCCTCCCATTTCCAGGGCAAACAACCAGCAATTGGAACATTCTGCTCTCATTCCAGTCCCTTTTTTTTTGACAGACAGGACTCCATTATCCCTTCCCATCCTGCTGGGAGCAGAGAAGGATCCTCCGCATTTTAGCAAGAAAGGAAAAAGGGAACAGAGTAGTTTGCCTGGGAAACCAGTGCCAGAGACCTGGGGATCCCACCTCTCAGCATCAGAAGTGCTTTTTGCCTAATGCATCACCTGCTCAGAGCATCCATGGGCTTAAAAATCAAGGTACCCAGCTCAGGTAGTGACAGTTCCCCCTGGAAGCAGGGATGGCTGGGCAGGTGGTCCCTGGGGTTTAAGATACAATGGCCATCAAAGCCTGGGGGTTTCTTGTTGCCCCTCTCCCAGAGGAGCCCCAAGGCCCATCCCTGCCCCCAGGACAGCCCGTGCAGCCACGTCAGCTCAGGGCTTTGCTTCGAGAGCTCCCAGAGCTGCTGCAGCCAGGCACAGATCACAGGCTTTTCAGTGCTGGCAGGGCTGGGGAGGGATCACAACCCCCAGCCAAAAATCCAGATAATTCTTAACCCAGTTCAGCTGCAACTGCTCGTCCACAGTGTGAGCTCTCCTGGAGGAAGGGACGAGCTCAGCACACAGTGCTGGAGCTCAGCAGCAGCCACAGCACAGGGGATCTGTGGCCAACACCAGCTCCCATCACACACCAGGCAGTCCAGCCAGTGCAGGACTCCAGGGTGAAGAAGAAGAACAACCATGGAATCACTTCACAGAGGTCTGGGCTCGCAGAGCAGCTCCTGTGGCCCATGAAGTAACTGCAGAATGACACCAAATCTGAGCCAGAGGCTGCAAACCCAGCTGTGTCCCTGCGAGTGTGTGCCAAGCCCTCTGCAATGCACAGTTTCTCAGGGAGGGCATCCACAGAGATCAAGGAAAGCCCATGAAAAATCCATCTGAGATGCTCCCTCAGACAGCCACAGACCAGGCCCCCACAGACCACGGGTCGCACTCTTTGGGGTCTTCCTTGGCCCATCGTCTTTCTTGGTCCCAAACTGTCTCCAGTGAAATGCTGTAAATCCACCAACCTCTGTGGAGTCTCTCCAGGTTTCTGGCACAGTAACTGAAAGCTGAGTCCAGTATTTATCTGGGAACAGCTGGAAATGCCAGCGTTCAAATCAATTAACTCAACAGTACTTTAGGCTCAGCCTCCGTGGGCGCTGCTGGACACATTTGTTAGCAAGGAGAAGCTTAATATTTGCATGGATCATACTTGCCTGATGGGAACGGGCAGGAACCTGCACGTTCATCTCTTGGGCAGGATCATGTCCAATTTAGCAGCACATTAAGCAACGAGGACTGGGTCTGCTCATAAATTTACTCGTCTCCTACATCACTGTCTGCCAGAGCCCCCATCCCACAGACAACGAGGCTTTCAGCCTTCCAGGTAGTGCCAAACCCTGGAGTTACTGGGATGTTTTGTTACAGACATGGTTTGGACACGGGGCAGTTAGTTCTGTCCATGGCAGGCATGTCCAGGACTTGTTAGGGTTCATCTCACCATGTCTTTCGGGTTAATGGGGTTAAATGACAGCACGTCCCCAATGGCTATGTGACAGCAAGGTGGCTGCAGATAGCATTGGTGATTAGTGTAACAACATGCCACTAAAATCAGGATTATCACAGTGCATTCAAAGTGTGAAGGTACTCACACTGCCTCCGCCCGGGATGTGTTTGATATTATCCTTTGAGCCACACCTTGATTGAACGTTGCTAAAGTCCAACTTCTTATTAACAATCTGCACCTTTGGTAGCCAGAAAAGAGTCATTGCACGTCACCAATAGCTATCTGATGGCAGGATCGCTGCAGATAGCATTGGCAGTTTAGTGTACACAACATGCCACTTATAATAAGAACTATTATAGAGCATTGAAAGTGTGAAGGTACTCACACTGCCTCCGCCCGGGATGTGTTTGATATTATCCTTTGAGCCACACTTGGATTGAACGCTGCTAAAGTCCAGCTTCTTATTAATAATCTGCACCTTTAGTAGCCAGAAAAGAGCGTGAGAAACAACGTGACCATCTGCAGCTTGACCATGTGTTATATCCCTAAAACCAGGAACCTGCCTTTCAGTGCTGAGAGCAAAAAGGAGAATCTCTGCCTTGCTGCATGGATTGGTGTACTCGTGGGCTGGAAACTGAAGATGGAGGTGGGCAGGTTATAGTTAGAGACTGGACACATCTGGATAGTGATGCAGCCCTGGTTCCCAGGCCACAAACACCAGCCAGAAATGAGCTCAGCCCCTTTTCTTTCACTGAACAGAATGGGGAACTTGCTGGGCAGCAAACCCGCTGGAAGGCACTGAGACTCCACAGTGCTCTGAGACTCAGCTTCTGCAGAGCCTGTGGAAGGAGGAGGGATGGAGCTGAGAGAAAACTGCCTGCCCAGCCCCAGCTCCCGTGCCTGGCATCCTGATCCCCCTCTGGGACAGGTACACCCAGCCTTGGGCAAACAAGTGCTGCTGGCCAGGCTGGAGAGCAGGAGCTGCGTGTCCAGCACTGGGAAAAGACGCCTGAGCTCTGCTCTGCACAGGGCTCACACTCCCTCTACAGCTACCAAGAGAAAGCAGACACTGCCAGGGATGCAGTGCCATGCCAGGGATGTGGCCCCATCCCAAGGATGCAGTGCCACGCCAGGGATGTGGCCCCATCCCAAGGATGCAGTCCCATGCCAGGGATGTGGCCCCATCCCAAGGATGCAGTCCCATGCCAGGGATGCAGTCCTGTCCCAGGGATGCCGTTCCAGGCCAGAGATGTGGTCTCAAGCCAGGATTGCAGTCCCACATCAGGGATGCAGTGCCAGGCATGCAGCCCCATCCAGGGATGGGGCCCCACACCAGGGATGCAATCCTAGGCCAGGGTTGTAATCCCATCCCAGGGTTGCAGCCCCATGTCAGGGAGGCAGCCCCACACCTGCAGTTTCCTTAAGCCCTGTGGGATGACAGGGGCAGCCCAGCCCACTCCCCAAAGGCAGCAGCTCTGTGGCATATTCCCAACACCATCTCCCATGGGAGAGAGGCTGGAAACAGCTCGGTGCCACATGGAAACCACGTGTCACACCATCTACACCCTCCAGCCCCAAAGCCTTCCCTCCACACACGGATTTTTGTGCTAATGAAGCTGGTTCTATTTCAGGCTTGTTCTCCCCACTTGGCTGTGTAAGGGCAGCTATGCTGGAGCGACCTCCTGCGTCAGCTATTCCAGGCAAAATGAGGATAAAGATTGTCCCTCTCCTTCCCCCACACTCTCTGGAGTGGCTTTACAACCTACACAGGTGTAAATGCAGGTAACAACCCGCAGGCCTGAGCCTGTCTGAAGCACAACCCCATGAGAGGGACCATCCTGCAGTGTCACATCCCTCAGCCCCAGATGACCCCGTCCCCGAAGCTGGCTGAGCAGGCACCTCATCTCCATCCCAGCATTCCATCCCAGGCCTGCTGCTGCCAGGAGAGCTCCCTGCTATTCCCTGCTTCTCCAGCATGAGAAGCACCAAGGCTGGTATGTGCCTGAAGCATGATTTTCAAGATTCACATCAATTAATCCCACAAACCACGATCCAGTTCTGCTAGACCAGGCTTTGCCAGAGCAGCACTCGGTGATCCAGTGACAACAAAAGTGCTCAGACCATGCAGAAACACTGGAGGAGACATGGCTTGGCTGGCTCCTGGTGAGTTTTTCCCCTTGCTCCTTTGCTTCCCTAGGTTGGGGGTCTGGAACCTGCACAGAGAGCAGGCTCCAAACCCATTTCTGATTTCAGCCTCAAATCAAACTGGTGAGATCAGCCCCTTCTGCTCCAGCTGCAACCATTCTGCTGAGAGCAGCCTCGTGTCCTACAGAACCCCCAACAGAGCACCCAGTTGTTCTGCCCTGCAAAGAGCAAGGAATTGTCCCAAATTCAGCTGCTCCCACTCTTCAGTAACAACAACAAACACGTCTGACAGAGAAGCAGAGAGAGAAAAAAAACCCAACTTGTAAAAACTGGATTAAAAAGAACGAGTGAATAATTTAACCAATTTCCAGTAAACAGAAGGGTTCCTTCTAAAGTCCCAGGAGAATGGGGTTTGTGGGGGTGGGAGGAAAATCCCATTACTTGTGTTAAGCGGGCAGGAGGGCTGAGGCCCCAAAAAGGACACGTGCTGCTCTGCCCATGACCAACAGCCCTGCCCAGGCTCCAGAGCCCCACTGGATTGTAGCACAAAGCCAGTAATCTCCAGCCACGGCAGAAAATGCCCAGGAGGCCATGGAGAAGCAGGCTGCCACTTCCAGGGGTGCAGAGGAGCCATCCCAAAGCCTCCTCCCTGTGCCAGAGGCAAACGTTCAGAGCCATGGAGGTCACACAAAATGCCATGCACAGCACTCAGGGAATGGTTGTTGTGGCTCTGCAAGGCCTGCGAGCCAGGCAGTGTCACCCCTGGGCAGGCAGTGTCCCCTCAAAACAGGCAGTGTCACCCCTGGGACAGGCAGTGTCACCCCCAGGGCAGGTAGTGTCACAGCTGGGCAGGCAGTGTCCCCTCAAAACAGGCAGTGTCACCCCCAGGGCAGGCAGTGTCACAGCTGGGCAGGCAGTGTCACCCTCAGGGCAGGAAGTGTCCCCTCAAAACAGGCAGTGTCACCCCTGGGACAGGCAGTGTCCCCTCAAAACAGGCAGTGTCACCCCTAGGACAGGCAGTGTCCCCTCAGGACAGGCAGTGTCACCCTCAGGGCAGGAAGTGTCCCCTCAAAACAGGCAGTGTCACCCCCAGGGCAGGCAGTGTCTCTTGCCAGGCTTGCAGAATTTAACCCAAGACCCTCATTCCCAAGCACATGGAACACAGAGGTCACTTTGCTGCTCGTGAAACAGCTTCTCTGGGAGTGAAAAGTGGTTGAAAGGATAAAAGTGCCACCAGTTCTGGCCATGCCACACTGCCCATGTAGCCACACAACGCCTGATGGCAGAACACAACCCAAACCCTTGACAACAGAGCTGGATCCAAAATCCCAGTGTCTGTTAAAACTTGGGGTCCAAGCCTGGGCCCCTCAGGAGGAGGAGACAGACCATCCTCCTGCTCACTAACAGAGGGGCTGCTCCGGTCACAGTGTAGGATCCATAAACACAGCCCTGATCCCACCACTCCTGAGGGCTGCAGGCCACAACCCACTGTCCCTAACTGGACAATCTGTCCCTAACTAGGGACAATCTGTCCCTAACTGGACACCACGAGGGAATGCCACTTCCCTGGAAGCCACTCCACGAGACCCACACCACGAGCCCTCCGTGGGACAGCTGAGCTTTACTAAGCCAGGCAAGGAATTCCAGGCCAAGCCCCCAACCCAGTCAACCCAAACCTCAGCACCAGGCCGGAGCCCAGCTGAAGTCTGGCTGCCCACTGCCCACAGCTGCTGCTGCTCCAGGGAGGCTCTCCCACCCCGGAGGGAGCATCCAGCACCCGCTGCCCCCACAGCCAGGCCCCTGGGGAAGCAGAGTCCACGTTTACCTTGCCACCTCCGGGCTGGTGCTTCAGGTTTTCAGTGGAGCCGATTTTGGACTTGACGTTTTTCAGGTCGGGCATGGGCGCGGCCGAGGGCTGGATGCGGGTCTTGGCAGACGCCGGAGATTTCGGTGGGGTGCGAACCACTGCCACCTTCTTGGGCTCCCTGGCTGGTGGGGTGGGCAGAGAGGGGGTGCGGGAACGGCTGCCTGGAGTCCCGGGGGAGCCGGGACTGCTGTAACCGCTTCTGTCTCCAGACTTTGGCTGCTCACCTGGAGGTTGCAGACAGGGAGTGAGCACGGGTGGGCAACCCAGGCACACACCACCCCTTCCCTGCTCACTCCCTGCCTTTTTGGGGTCGATATCCCCGGTCCCAGAGCCCACCCTGCTACTCCCAGTGCACGGCTGCGCTTTCTTCTACTCCATTTTGAAGGAAAAACCGTGATTTAAAGGCAATTTCCTAATATCTCAGAAGGAAGACGGTCTCCACTGCCTGGGTCACGGGTAAAACTCCCCACCCGAGCGTGGCACTGGCATGCATGACGAATTACAGACAAAAGACACTCAAAAACACATTTCTATTAGAAATTTAGAAGCATTTTTACATATTTTTTTCTCTGTAATTAAATAAGGCTGGTTGCTGAGCAGCTTAGAACTGTCCCCAGTTTGAAAAGCAAACGGAAGAAGAAAAGAAAACCCTTAAACGTCACCTTTCTCAGTCTTTGCTGCTGCAGGAGGTGGTTTTTTCTGCTCCTTTCTGCCTGTTTAGTGAATGAGAAAGATGCTTAAACATAGTAAAGCCGGAAAATTAATTGATTTAAGGTTTTATGGAGCTCCAGTTAAGTATGAAATATATATATGTATATTCAGTGAAATGCACCATTTTAATGGAAATTCACAATGCCTGATGCTTTCTGGGGTTTTCTTCTCTGAGAATAATAATGGGCTAATCTCCATTCCTGCAATCGAAGAATTGATCCTCTTGCCCCTGGTCTTTGTGAAATATTGTCAGAGAGAAAAGGAGTAGATGGATTAACAAGGAGCTGCCTAAACCTTCCAAACTGGAGGGTATCCCAAAGGGATAAAGCAACTGCCCTCTCCTACACATGTGTGAACAGAGCAGCACCTGGAAAGGCTCACTCCAGAGGGCTCATCCCAGCTCCAGGAGAGGGCTGAGCAGCTCCCACCCCCCTGGCAGAGCTCAGCCTGTGCCGTGCCCCTGCCTGGGGCTGGGAGTTTGGCCATTAACCCCCCAGAGCTGCACAGGGGGGAACTTGGGAGCACCACTGAGGGCATCCCCACCGCGGTGGCGGGAGCAGGACACGGCTCCCACCGTCACCTACCGGAGCTGGGAGGGGTCTTGGGGGCCGTGGGGGTCTTTGCCGGGATGCGCGTGGCGTTGGTGGAGTTCCTCTGCGCCTGCCCCGAGCGCGGCGTGCCCGTCTTCGTGCCACCCCTCATCTCCGGGCCCTGGGGACACAAGGCGGGTCTGTCAGGGATGGGCTGTCACCCCTCATGGGTCAGAGCACACGAGACCCCCCTGCTTCCTACACCCTGGCAGCCCAAGGGTTCCTCACACCTGGAATGTGCCGGTTCACACCTTGTCTCCTGCAACAGCACCTGCCACAAGCAGGGCACAGCCACAGCCAGGGCACAGCCACAGCCAGGGCACAGCCACAACCTGGGCACAGCCACAGCCAGGGCACAGCCACAACCTGGGCACAGCCACAACCTGGGCACAGCCACAACTAGGACACAGCCACAGCTTGGACACAGCCACAAGCAGGGCACAGCCACAGTTTGGGCACAGCCACAAGCAGGACACTGCCACAGCTTGAGCACAGCCACAACCAGGGCACAGCCACAACCAGGGCACAGCCACAGCCAGGGCACAGCCAGTCCTGGGCTGGTGGAATGACTGTGACCTTTCCCAGGTGAGCCCTTGGCTTCAGCTGCCCCATTCACCACCCCTGGTCTGGTGTGCAAAACTCCTCTGTTCTCTGAACTCTGTCACTTCATTTCCCCTGCCCTGCTAAAATTGTTACAGAAGATACATAAATTCAAGAGTATGTTCAGCTCCTTTGTTCTCTAAATCTCGTCACTTTGTTTCCCCCTGCTCTGCTAAAATTGTTACAGAAGATACATGAAAATTCAAGAGTATGTTCAACTCCTTTGTTCTCTAAATTTCATCACTTTGTTTCCCCTGTTCTGCTACTATTTCACACAGAAGATAAATTTATCCATGAGTCGAGTGCTGGGCTTCAAACACTGAGAAGCACCTCAGATATTCCCACCTACAGTACACCACTGTCACACCTGCATCTCACCTGTAATGTCAGGTGAACTGCAATATCCTATCTATGGTCTCCTGGTCCTGCAGAAATCCTTCCCAAACCTCTGAACTCACACATCGTCTTTCTGGTGACTACTTAGTGCTGGTCAGTGTAAAAGCTCATGGAAAACATGGAACTGAAAATTTACAGGCTGACTGGTCCCAAGGCAGCAGGGAAGCAGAACAGAACCAGTAAAACCACATCCCATCATCTGTCAGTGGCACAGGATGCCCAGAGAAGCTGTGGCTGCCCCTGGATCCCTGGAAGTGTCCAAGGCCAGGTTGGATGGGGCTTGGAGCAACCTGGGCTGGTGGAAGGTGTCCCTGCCCATGGCAGGGGTGGCACTGGATCAGCTTTAAGATCCCTTCCAACCCAAACCACCCCGTGATGCTCTGATCCTGTGTGACCTGCAATCCCTGTGCTTTTCCTCACCACAGGTGTGTTTGTGTGAGTGAACACAGCAAAGGGAACCCAGAGCCGGGTGTGTTTGCATTTCCTACAGCAGCACCTGGCAGGTCTGGCTGTGGCACACTGCAAACACATCTGCTGTTTGCTGCCAATGCTCCCATGAAACACAGATAAAGCTGCAAAACAAGGAAGAGCCTAAAAGGACCTGGAAATGCCTCAGAGAGACCAGGTAACACCCTGCAGCAAGGAGCTATTTTTGCTCCATGTGCTGGTTCCTTCCAGCACCAAAACTGGAGCCAAACCTGGCCATGGCCATGGGAAGGTGAGGCACATCCCACCCTCTCCACAGACCAGGGAGACTCAGCCAAGCACCATCACTCAGGAGTGCTTTAAGGTATTCCCCTTTGCCTCTCTCACACCCCATTTCCTTACCTTGGCTTTCATTTCTGGCGTTCCTGTACTGGCAGCTCGGGGTGTGGCAGGAGGGACTCGCTTAGAGGCAGGAGCAGGGCTGGAGGGTGGTTTCGAAGGGGCTGTGCTAGAGGAGGTGTGTCGGTGGGGGGGGATGGAGGGTCTGTCCCCTGGGGGTTTGGCAGTGGAAGGTGAGGATTTCTTAAACGTGGAAACAAAATAAAATGGGAACAAACAAACAAAAAAAATCAGCATGGGAGGGAAACAAAATGGGATCAGCAACATAAAATAGGATTAGAAGGTGCAATGCAGAGCTGGGTGGGGGATAGGTGTTAGGTGGCACTGCCAGGGCCCCATGGCTGCTCCACCAAGTATGGGATACCCCAGCTATTCCTTCCACAGGGTGCAGTGACACCCGAGCCCCTTCCTGGGGACACCCTGTGACAGCCTGTCCTTGCTTCTGCCTTCCACACCAGGGGCACATTTCACCATCAGAACCCTCAATTCACTCCCAAACCCTCCTCCTTCCTGCCAAAGGAACAGCACTACCAACACCAGCATTTCTGAGAGATGCAGGTGGCTGCTCCCAGCTCTTTCAACCCCATCCTACCTGCTCTGCCAAAACCAGACCACTGGTTTTATCTAGGCTTGGTACCATGTCTAATGCTCAGCCTGATACAACCCTGCCAGACTTCCCTAGAGAAAAACCCAATTTCACACTGTTTGCAAATAATTCTATTCCTCTCCTTCAATTTTTTACCCCTTAAACTGCCCCTCAGCTTGTCCATTATCCCACTCAGGCACTAACCAAGCTAATGGCCAGATGAACTAAACCTCCTCCAAATTACCAGTGTGACAGATACCATTAAACCTCTGGAATCTCAAACTCTGTTGATGATCCCTGTGGATCCCTTCCAACTCAGGATATTCTATGATCTGCAAGGCCTAGATTATTTAATTTAATGTTTTAATTACATGTTTTGCTCTTTTCACTGTTCATCCCCAGTACACCCAGTGCAGTCTTGAGTCTGCCCCAAAGGCAGCTGCTGCTTTCCAGTGCTGGGCTGAGAAAATGACTTCTCCAACCTCACACCCAACCCCGTGAGCCACATGTTTGATTTAGGTTTGGATCATTTCCTCACCCTCAAAGAACCCCATGGATTGCACCATCCAAACCAGGGTGAGGGAAGAAAAAATAAAAACACTGTTGAAAAACAAATGGAAGAATGGAAGGGAATGGGAAAGGTTTCCTCAGAGACAACTGCAGGCCAGGAGAGCAGGAGAGGAGCCAGGAACATGCACAGGTGTCACCTCTGGCTTTATTTTTTATCTCACCTTGGGTTTCTTTTCATCAGCTTCGGTCCCTTCCTTGTCAACACGACCTGACAAAGGGAAACACACAGTTACACCTCTTGGGACTGGTCAGGAACTCCAGAGAGAGGACAACACACGTGCTGGGGGCTGTTCCCTGTCCCTGCTCACCCTTAAACTAAACTCTGTTCTTAGAAATATATTACCAAGTCACCACTTCTTGCAGAAATCCTTCCCCATGGTAAACACATTCTTTCTGGGTTAACAGATGATCCATGTTAGTCACCACTGAGACGAGACACACCGACGAGGTTTCTATGAGAGCATTTCGCCCAGATCTGCACTCAGATCCAGCAGGATCCATCCAGTTTAGGACAGAAAGTTCCCTTCAACGAGTCTCCCTCTCTAAAACACCCACTGGTTCTAGCAAGTATATAAATAAAGACTCAAACCAAAGGATGCCCCAATCCAGCAGCACCGTGACCTCATTTAAGGTGGCTGTTCAGTGTGCTGGCTTTGCAGAGCACTTTTATCCCTGGATGTTGCTAATTCCCATCTCTCCTGACACACTGCTCTCTGCCTCCTAGCACAGTGCCCCTTCCACCTGGGTCAGTCTAATTAGGAGATTAAAAATGGGGAGGAAGTACTGTTTGTAGTACAAGGCACTCAAAACAGAGCCCTTTTTTCCCTGTCTTCAGCTAATTCCTTCCCAGTCTGGGAGGAAAAGCTGCTGACACTGTTCCCAGTGTTTGGAAACTTGTCCTGGGGGTCAGCCTTTTCCTGGTGACGTGGACCATGCTGTTAATCCAACATTGACCCATCCCAAATTCAGTTAAACTGCAAATTGGATCAAGGCTAGAGCTGAATAGCCACGGAGTATCTCTGTTTTGAAGGGAAAGACCATTAAATAATTGAATTTCTCCTACTGAATCAGAAGCTGGCTGGCTCTGCACAATGCATCCCCACCCCACCATCATTCCAGGCTCCAGTGCAAGCCATGCCAGTGCCCTGCAGCACACGTGGGAAGCTTCCCACTGCCGATTCCATAGGGAACAACGAGAAATATGTTATGAGCTTTAGCTCTAATGGAAAAAGCTCCATCAACAATTTCTTCATGAGCCCCACGCAGCAAAGAGCACGTTCTGCCTGCTACAAACCAGAGCAGCATTCCCAGGATAATGGAGGCAGCCAAGCCAGCTTTTGGGATGTGGAACTGCAGGGAGAAGCAGAGCTTCCCCCAGGATAGACCCTGGGCAGCCAGAGCTGAGGTACAACACTGTGAGACACCAACGTGTGTCCTGCTGTGTTAGCACAACTCATGACAAAATCTTCACCTGGACACTGAGCAGGGCCTCTAGTGACATTCCTGAGCCTCGGGAGGGGTGGAAAACAGCCTTGGAGAAAGGAGAGGTCTAAGGGATGCTCGTGCATTCAGCGGCGAACTCAGACCTTCACCCAAAACAGCCCAGCCCTGCCCCACAGACTGTTAGATGCCTCCACTCACACAGGCAGCTCCCACTGAACCCCCCAAATGCTCTGGAATGCCCAGGGACATCCCATCCAGAGCTGGGATTGGAGCAGGATGCTTTGGAAGAGCAATGGACATGCCTGGCAGTGGGGAAAGGCCCAGCTGGCTGCAGACCCTGCCTGCAGCACCAGTCAGCAGTGAATATTTAAGGGGAAAGTATAAGAAACAGGATCAGCGCGGGGCTTCTCCATGGTTAGACCTGCCACCCTTGCCTTTTTCCTCCTCCCTCCTCTTTAGGAAAGCCAATTCCAAGAGTTATTGGACCAGACATGCAAACCAGATGGGACGTGTCCTGCCGGGACGAGCCGCAGCGCGCGCCAGGTCAGCCCCGCTCCAACAGGCCAGAACCACGTCCATCCGGTCCTCCTCTCCTCTGGGAAGGTGCCAGGTGGGAGTTAAGGTGCCCACCCAACAGATCCAAGGAAATCAAACTAAAAACAGGTGAATAAAAAAAGCACGACTGGGGACACGCCAGCACCATGCAAGGGACGCAAAATGGCAGCACAAGGGTCTGGGAATCCAACCCGGGATTAAACAGGGAGGGAAGGACTGGGAGGGAGCAGCAGCGGCGCGTTGGAGATCAGTTCACAGCGCAGATCCAGGCCATTTCCAAGCAGCAGGACTCGAGGTGGCAGCAAGCTGTGGTGCTGCCTCAGGCAGCCTTGTTGGGAGCAAGCCACCGGTGAGCCGAGGGCAGCGAACGGAGCACACACCTTTGAGGAGAGGGACACGGCTGGCTTTGTCTGCAGCCAGGGCACAGGGCTGCTTCTGGGGCGTCTGACACTCTCCTGTGTCTGGCACAACCTCAGCAGCTTTGTCTTCCACATCACCTTTTAACTCAGAAGGGAGTTTGGCTGTTTCTAGCAAGGGTCCAGAATCTTCTCCCTCCCTGGGCTCAGCTTCTTTTTGGGAGATGGTTTCAGGAGGCTCTGATGGGGTGACGTCTGTACCTCCTTCACCCCTCAGTGGCTGCTGCTTCTCCTCTTGGTCCTCTCCTGCTTTCTGTGACTGAGTTTCAGCCACAGGTGCCTCTCTCGGGGTGTCTCTGGGGACATCTTTGGACTCTTTATCACATTCTTCAAAAGTCTCCTTGGCTGTTGCCGGACACGAGCCTGCTTCAGGTCCTGGTGAAACCTGCTGACCCACCAGGGACAGCAAATCCTGCTCAGAAGTTTCATCAATATCACGATCCTCATCCCTCTCCTGCCCACTGGAATCTTCTTTTAATGGGGCTTTGGTACACAAAGGAGGTGGTCCCTCTTTACGGTCACCTGTGCCCCCTGCTCCTGCCAGCACATCACGGCCCAGCTCTGGCTCCACACCAATGCCTTCTCTGCCTCGATGATCCCACAGCTCACCGCTGCCTTCGGATGCTCTGGAGCCTTGGTACATATCCAGGGGGATTGGGATGGTGACCTCAATTCTGGTGGGAGCTGCTGCTGCTGGAGCCTTTGTTTCACGTGACAGGAGTGGCTGCTGGAGGCCCCCAGGTCCCTGCTTTGAGGGCTGGCTTTCTCCTTTTATTGCTTCTCCCACACGCTCCTGAGGGCCGGGCTGGAGCTTTGGAGAGCTCGGCTCCCCTGGAGTTGAAGATGTGGGGTATGAAGCAGGGGCAAAAAATTAGCACAGGCATGTCAAACAGTCATGTAATGCTGAGAGACTGAGGATTTCTACTGTCAATTGAGAGGATAAAAGAAGTCCCACACCGCCCCACTGAACAGACAACTCACTGCCACAGTGGCTTTTGCCTTTAAAGAAACTCTGATCCCCATGGGAATCACAAACAGTGACAGCCACAGTGCATGGGAGACCAGATTCCTGCCTGGACCCGGCCTTGGAGGTGTCCAGGTTCACACCTGCACTCCATGAGCTGGTTCAGCTGTAGAAATTTCCAGAAGCCAAGAACATCCCCATTTTCCAATCTAACACCACCACAGGACCATCAGTTTGCTGGTCAGTGCCCACCCCTTCCTGCCTCAAGGGCCTGAACAAAACAGGCCAGACCCTTCCCCTCCTTCCCAAAATCCCCGCAGCTCTTTTCCCCCTTCGGGAGATGTTCAGGCACACAGAGCACCTCTCAGAGCTCAGACCACCCCTGCTCTGCTCTCCAGGTCATTCCTGCTGCCCATGGGCGTGGAGAAGAGCACTCCCATGTCTCCACTCTTATTTCATCAGCCAGCAGAGCAGCAAAGGACTGTGAGGGAAAACGCAGTTGCAGTGATTTTGGACTGTGCCCCCACTGAGACTCATCAGAGCTCCAGCACTGCTGCCATTATTTGGGCTGAATGACATTTAAAACCCAAATCTGAGGTCCCAGAGACACGGATCTCTCTCTCTCTCTCTCTCTCTCTCTCTCTTTTTGGGGTGTGTATGCGTAAAAGAGGGAGTTCTGTTGTTGCTGATCTCATGCACGACACAGACATTTATAATTTCACCCAACTGCAGAGTTAAGTCACATATTCCACTCGAGCCAGAGCTTTTCTGTTGGAAATTCATTCAGCTGAAGCAAAGATCCACTGAGCAATGGAGAATTCACCTGGACAGAGGTAAATTGCTTTAAAGTCAACCATCCTAGCAGGAACGTGCCTGTTGCATTATGAATTTGCCCAGCTTCAAAGACTCTTTGATCTTTTTAAGCACTGCTCAGGTAAACCAAAGAGCCCAAATCAGAGCACTGCAGTCCTGAGATCACAGCTGTGGCTCTGGCAGATTAACAAACAAGACCAAAACAAGAAAAGATGAATCAAGACCGATTTGGTCTTTTATCAATGTCCTCCCCTTTTTAAGAGAATATCATGGTTTAAGTGAAACCACCACACAAAGACCCTGGAAACTGTGGTTTAAAAGAAAGCTTCAATCGGCCCCTATTGGAAGGTAATATTTGAAATATGGCATCAAGAAACACCTTTTGTAATCACAGGGGTTTGAAGTGTTCAGGCAGCAGCCAGCAGGTCAACCTGGCTCATTTCTTCTGCAAGGGAACATCACAGCCACTAATGAGCAGCAGTGCAGGAATGTGGACAGGCAGTTCACGAGCTGTGCTTCCATGTTCCAGGATTCTTCAGGGGTTTTGAGGCAAATCTGCAGCGCAGGGTCAATGCCAAACTGGGAATCAGAGGATGCTTCTCCACCTGAGACTCCAAAAGCATTTTAAGATGCTCCATCTGCACTGTAAATATTGTATTTTAACCCCCCACATCAGGTAGGTACCAGTGAGACACCCAAGGCTCTGTGTGTCAATAATCATATTTTCCTCTGAATCAAAGAGAACCACTAAAAGGAAGCAGCACATTATTACAAGCCCACTTTCAGAGATGGAACAATTTATAAAGAACCTATATAGGTTTTGTCAGAGCTCCAACTCGCTGTATGGTTCCATATCTGACAGCTCAAAGATCCCAGGACAGGACAGAAAGGTCTTAATAAAAATCTGGTGCGAAACAGCACTAAAACCAAGGAAGAGAGAAGAGAGAACTTCACCCCCCTCTTGATAAGTCTTGATTTCTGTTTTATAGTGGAATCACTACTTTAAATACAGAAGAGCTGCCAGTCCAAAAACCACTGGCCAGGCAAGCACAGGTTCTATTTTAACTGCAGGGTGCACAGAACTGTGCTCATCTGTGTGCAGAGAGCAAAGACAAGCTGAATTCTGCCCTGAGCTCAGAAGGCAAAGACCTATTTACTTCTTGCAAAAGACATGGACGTCTAAATGCACTAATGGAGCCACGAGGAGGAGACACCGCCCAGCTGGAGGGGTTTGTTATGTTTGCTGTGCAGAAAACTGCCTTAGAAAATGGAGTTTAACTGAGATTTTAAACAGCACACCAAATTAGGGCTGTGGTGTGGAGGCAAGACAGCAACATCACGGGGAGTCTGAATCTCTAAGTCTGGAATTAAGCCAGCACTGGGTGTTTTGGGAAAACCCCATCCTGAAGCTTTCCATCAAATCTGAACTGAGCAGAGTCAAGAGAGGCTTTCCAGGCAGCCAAGACATCCCAGATAATTCTTGGCTCATCTAAGCAGACACAATTAATGCTCTGAGAACACTTGCTGCCCCTGTGTCTGACTTGGCCACTTCACATTCCCTAAGACTGGGATAAGGAAAACAAACCCTTCACGTTGAAGTCAGGGCATCAGTGAGTAGGTTTCAGACATGTTTTCCATTAGAAAGACACAGTAACCAAACAATTCACTGATCTCCTGTGTGACATGCAGGGCCCACACTGCCTCTGTTCAGTGTGAGCAGCTCCTCCTGGTCACGGCACATCCCAGCTCTGTCCATCAGCTTTTCCAGCCTGGAGAATGCCCTGGTTTTGCAACTGGACAAACAAGCACCATGACTTTGGTTGTCTGAGAGAGAAATTTGGTGCATGAAAAGCTGCAGTTACCTGAAATGAGTATGTCTGAACATTCCAAGCGTGTATGACCCTTCCCTGTCAGGAACAGGGAGAACTGCACAACTGCCGTGCAGTGCAGAGCATTTCATCACAGATCAAAATTCCCAAGCCACCAGCAACCAGTTGCACACGTGGGCAGCAATAACTGGACACAGGGACAGATGATTCACCCACCTTGAGTGTCATCTCCTGCAGCGTGGTCCTCCAGGTTGGGAGTGGCTCCTACACCCGCCTCTTCAGCTGCTCCCAGGTCAGAGGAACAAGGGGAAAAATACGATCAAAACAAGAGTTAAGTTTAAGTGTGTGCCTGGAGAATTTATTTACCTCCCTTCTGATGCTGCCCATCAGATTGGGCATGATCTCTGCTGTATCATGAGCAGGGCAGGATCAGAAAGGAAATCACTCCACATCGATGACAGATCTGGACAGATCTACTCAGCCTGTGCTGTACCAGACAAGAGGAGTGTTCCATCAACTCACACGTCCTAGATGGCAGGTTAGTACAAACTCTTTCAGGTAGCAAACAGGCTGTTAAGGAGCAAGGAAACTTGTGGATTTATATCCCCTCTTCTTCCCTCACCTTCCCTTTATGTAGCCAGCAGCACTCACACAAATGTCTCTTCCCTGAGCCCACCTTCTTGGTGTCTGCTACCCACCTCACCACAATGAACCCTGCCAAGGCTGTGTGAGTCCAGTAATTCCAAGCCTGATATGAATCTGACACTTCAGGAATACTGGAACATCAGAGAAGCACAGTCTTCCTCACAGTGATGACGGTTTGCCTCTCTCAGAATTTTTCCAATTTATTCCACGAGTACTTTCAAACCAGCTTAAACAATTATACCTGCATGTCACATTCTCTAGCCAAAATAGAACTTTCTCTGTTTCCCTGTATTTTTTTTCCCAGGAGTTCAGGACACACTGGCTCCCAGGTACAGCCAGATCTTGCACCAGGGTCTGCACATCCTTGCAAGCAGGTGAACCACTCTGTGTCCCACTGCAGGGCTCCACCAGCAGCCTGGGGACTGGATGCAGATGGATTTCACTGCTGGGGGTGTGTTCCAGTGTTTGGTATCATCAGAAGCCCTTTTCCATCCACTACCTTTCTCAGGTCCTGCCTGATGCTTCCAGGAAAAGCCACTGGCTAAGGCACAGGGGACACATCCTCATTGTTCACACACAGACCTGCCCCTCCCTGCAGCTCCTGCCCTCTCCTTCCCACACAGCACTGCTGCAGTCACTCCCTGCTCTGCCTCTGGAAGGCACCAGCCCTCCCTGGAAAACCAGGCCCAGGTGCAGTGATTCCCCACAGGCCATTCAGGCTGAATTAGCCACTTCACTTCCTCTGCATTATCCTTAAAAGCACTGCTGCAGTGGCCTGGTTTTCACCTGCCACTCCAAAGACACCCACGAGGGCTGGGCAGAGCCAGAGTGCTCCAGGATGAGGGGCTGCTGGAAGAGGGGCTGGAACGACCCGGATCTGCTCGGCCTGAAGGGGAGGCAAAGCCACCACAGAGACACCAGACAGAAAGATTGTCAGATGCAGAGCTGCGAAGGAGAAGAGAAAGCTGCGAGTTTCCCTCAGGATGGGGAAGGCAAGAGGACAACTGTAAGCCAGGAATTATTTGGAGAAGGAAGAAGCAGCGTCAGGAGCAAAGCGTCCCTGCGAGAGGTTTCATGGTGTTATCTCACAGCACCAACCAGTCCAGCTCTCTGCTCTGTCTGCATCAAGAGGTGGAACTGCACCTTGGTCTCCCTCACCTGTGGTTCCTTCTGGGATCTCCCCGTGCTGTTCCACACCACCCTGATCCTCGTGGTCTCCTTCCTCCACTAAAGGTGCTGTGGCATCTGAAAAACAACGCAGCTTTCACACAGCTGTTGGGTGGCAAAGCCCTGGGGAGGCCAGGACATGCCTGAAGAACCCTTTTCCTCAGAAAAGCACTCAACTCCCTCCCTTCAGCCAGTGGAGCGGGACAACCAAGCACGACACAGCAAAGCCAATATCACAGGGACACCAGGAGCTGCCCCTCTGCCACACAACGTGCCACAGCACACTCCTTATGCTTCTGAAGGCTTTGCCAGGAACTCTATC